GATGTAGCGTGGAAATCGGTTTAGGGTGTAGGGTTTAGGGTTTAGGGCTAAGGGTTCCCCTTTCCCTAAACCTCAGCCCAATCATAAGGCACGTGTCTCTTGTCAGAGCAGGTTTTTCCCGAGTAGTCTCGGGTTCAGGTGCCTTGTCATTACAGGCTTGGATCCGGCTCCTAAACCCCAAAAAACCCAAGTACTGAGGGTTTAGGGTTTCAAGGTTAATACGCAGTTTAGGAGGTGGGGGGGGGGGGAGGGGTGGTGGGGGGAGGGGTGGAGGGGGGGGGAGGAGGGCTGAGGGGGGGGGGGGGGGAAGGGGGGGGGGGTGGAGGGGGCATAGCTGCCGCGCATGTCCTGTGGCGCCTAGTGCCCCTAACCCCTTGAAAGGCGTTCCCTCAACCCTCAACCCGAAACCCGAAACCCCAAACCCGAAACCCCAAACCCCAAACCCTACTCCAAGCCCGAAGCCCGAAGCCCGAAGCCCGAAGCCCGAAGCCCGAAGCCCTCGTGCAGCGCTCGCCCACCGAGGATTGGGAGCCACTCCAGCTCAAAGACTGGTCGTTAACCGGGTTTCGGAGTACTATTTTGGGATGTTCCCCCTTGTACTAACACCCCTTCATCGGGATTATTCTCGGGGGTACTTTAATCCCTATTAAGGACTGTTAGTCTTAGTCTAAGGGGGAAAATCCCAAGTACTATACTTTAATGTTTTTTGGGTACTGGGTTCTCATTATAGTTACTTAGACCTAAAAAAGTGATTAGTTTTTTCTTCAGGGTCTACTCCAAATTAGGGTCAACCCTACGACCCTACAACCCTTAAACCCTTAAACTTGGGATAATTCCCCCCTACACTAACAGTCCTTAGTTGGGATTATGGTACCCCGATTATAATCCTATTGAGACTGTTAATATCAGGGGGAACATCCCAACCTTGAACCCTTAAACCCTAAAACCCTAAAACCCAAAAACCCAAAAACCCTAAGACCCTAAGACCCTAAAACGCGAAACCCCTAAGGTTTGGGGTTCAAGGTTCAGGGCTTCTGGTTCTCAGTTTCGGTTTCTAGAATCCTCAAGAACTCGAGAATTAAGATCCTGGGAAAGTGTCTGGAATTATCGGCGTTGCGACACACGAGAGCAGGTTCTGATCATCTGGTTCTCAATACGGGTGGTGGGTGGTTGCGGAATTAGGTACCCCCATATGGCCCCGTATCCGGGTATATATAGGAGGACATTAATTATCGAGTTCCTAATTCCCTACTAAGAGCTGTATCAAAAGGTTTTGGGTTCATAGCCACGCGGAGCTGAACGACACCACTGCCCGGCCGGGGACGCGGCAATCCCCCGAAAATCCCAAACCCTGAGCCGCCCTAGGACATTTTAGGGTTTAGGGTTGCAACGCAAAACAAGCACCCTAAAGCCTGAGAATAATCCAACATACTCCAAACCCATACCGCACCCCTGCAGCCGGTTCAGAGCCTGCTCTGCATTCCGGCACTTACCCTATCCAGGGACCCCTTATATAACTTCCTAAACCCCAAATTCTACAGACCCTTAACCTACAAACGGAGATATAAGGAAGGATTTTACTATACCCTTCATTACTTTTTAGGGTATGGCCAAGGGGTATGTTGAATAGTTTTTAGAGGCAGTTCCCCTAAACCCCAAATCCTTAACCCTTAAACCCTAAACATCCCGAGGTTTAGGGTTCACCCAGGTCGTGGACAACGAATGACCGGTACAAGAGCAATGGCGCGCTTGCAGACGTGGACTGGGATGAGGCACCCTTGGGGTGGAGGGTTTAGGGTTTCGGGTTTAGGGTTTAGGGTTAGGGTTTAGGGTTGAGCGTAACTTGGGATGTCCCCGCCCCTATACCTAACAGCTCCTTAGTAGGGACTCTAATAGGGGGGAGGGGACTATCATCCCTATTAAGGACTGTTAGTCCCTAAACCCTGAACCCTAAACCCTAAACCCTAAACCCTAAACCCTAAACCCTAAACCCTAAACCAACATCCCAAGTGGTCATGGTCCCAAGGCTCAAAAAGCTGAAACCAATGAAGTCAGTGCTAGGTTTGCGAAGTGGGCAAGCATGGTCCACGATCATTTTAAGATTCGCACCGTGCGTTTTCCGCATTCCTGTAACGCCCGTTCGAACAGCTCGAAGACTACCCGAACACCTCTCCTGCGAAGAATCACGCCTATGGGCCTTCAACGTGTGTGAGACGCTTGTGATTCCTAAACCCGAAGCCCTAAACCCGACCGTATCTATCTACAGCTCGACAAACCTTGAGCAGAAACCATCTTGTGGCAGCTTCCCTCTGCAGGGTCCTCCTTGGGCCACCTCTCCCAACCCGGAGCCCGAAACCCTAAACCCTAAAATCCTAAACCCTGAAGCCCTAACCCTAAGCTCTAAAGCCCTAGAACCCTAAGATTCCCTGTCCTAAGTTGACTTGTCTCATTGTCAAATCTGAGATCGATCCCGAACCCTAAACTCCAAGAACGAAAGGATCCCAAGCAACAGCTCCGAGCGCTCAGGTGAAGCGAACTGGCATTGATCCCCTTGGTGACGGCTCCTTCTACATGTCCATGAACCTTGGAAAAACCTTAAGATAAAGCTTCCCACCTGACCATCGCATTTCTGCGTTTAGACCAAATCAGCCCTTTCCCTCCAACCCCCCCCCCCTCAGAAAGCCTTGATCCTAAATCCTCCACTAGACGGGCGGTATCTGTTCCCCTATTTTTTGGAGGATCCTAGGCTCCTCACCGAACTCTGCATTACAAAGACGTACTGATTCTCAGTCGGTCATTCCCTACTAAGAACCAGTACAAAAAAGAGGAGTCCTTGAAGGGGGGGGGGGGTTGTACCCTCCCAAACTTTAGGGCGTTTGGGGGTGCTTTGGGCGTTTAGGGTTGTCTGCACGGGGAACTGGTGGCTGACGGCTGCCCAAGGCATATCTTTGGGTATGTGGGGACCTCCTTGCAGGTCCTGAAATGCTTGCCCGCGTTAGACGATATACTCCATGAAAGGCTCCTGAACTCAAAACTCTACTACGGAATTCAAAGCCAAGGGGGCAAGGCTAAATAGGGTTTAGGCTTCAGGGGTATAACCCCAAGGGTCCATGTACCTCATGAAGTTTAGGAGGTACTTTAAGGCCCAAGTATTCCCTATTTAGGTACATGGACCCTGAGGGTCAGCTCCCCTCAATCTTATTCCCCTATATAACCCCTACATACACCTTATGTAGTCCCTATTTAAATAACCCCTGAAGGTCCCTTACAAGGGTCCCTCCTTGAGTCCCTTGAGGGAATGACTTCTTTTAGTCCCCTATGTAGCCCATATATATATATATATATATATATATATATACATATATGTGTATATATATATATATGTATATATGTATATGTATATATATGTATATACCGTTCATAGTCCCTATATACCTAAGCAGCTTCAAGGAAAGACTTCTGGCACCACTTCCGCGCCATCCAGATCTGCACCGTGCCGTTCGAGCGCGAGTACAAGCCGGCGATCTAGTGGTGATGAGGGGGGACGTTCAGAATCCCAAAGGGTCGCCATTCAGAGTCCATGTACCAGGGTGTAGGGTTTAGGGTTTAGGGTTTCGGGCTTGGGGTTTAGGGGTAGGGTTTAAGGTTTGGGGTTTGGGGTTTGGGTTTAGGGTTTAGGGTTCAGGGTTCAGGGTTTAGGGTTTAAGGTTTAGGCCTTAAAAGGGTTCCTACAGAGTAGCTTAAGGGCCCAAGTATATACTATATAAGTACATGGACCCTTTGGGACAAAGATCAGTGACGACGTAGGTGCCTGAGTGCTCAGGCATTGGACAAGGCCTTGTTCAGGCTGTTTAATGTAGAAAGAGCTAGTTTTAGTCAATGCCAAACCCTAAGCCCCAAACCCTAAATCCTTAACCCTAAACCCTAAACCCCGCACCCTAAACCCTAAACCCCAAACCCTAAACCCTTAACCCTGAACCCAGCCGTGCTGCTACCAGCCGCATATTCTCTGTTTGCTTCATACGCAAATCTTGAGCGTGAAGTAGAGTCCCCTAAACCCTAGAAACCTAAAGCCTCAACCCTAAACCCTAAACCCCAAACCCTAACCCTAAACCCTAAACCCTAACCCTAAACCCTTAAGGGCCATCCTAGAAAAAGGTGAGGATCCATGAAGAGCGTGGACCAGAAGAGCTGCCTTTTGAAAAAAGGCAGCAAACCCTCCGTCATGAGGCGATTTCCTATATGGAAGCCTGGGGAACCTGCATGCCAGTCTGCATACTTGCAGGTTCATGGTACTTATTAACCAACTACAGCTGTACTTATGAACTTAAGGGGTTCTAATTGGTGAACAAGGACCATGAACCTCCAAGTACGGGCTTTGCAAGGCCAGAGAATTGAGGCTTTGCCCGCTCCAGGACCAATCACGAAGTGATTTGTGGTGTCCTGACCGAGGGGTTAGAACCCTAAACCCTAAACCCTAAACCCTAAACCCTAAACCCTAAACCCTAAACCCTAAACCCTAAACCCTAAACCCTAAACCCTAAACCCTAAACCGAAAGGCAGCTCTGCGCCCCTCGAGAGAACCCTGGAGCCCTTGCACCCCCCGCCCACAGCCGCCCACAACCTGCCACCCCACACTCCCCAAAGCCCTAGGGCCAGAAAACCCTAAACCCTAAACCCTGAAAGCCTCAAAGGTTGAAAATTCCGCGTGCAGGTTTACCGATGGCAAGCTACACACCTTGCGCAAGCGGAAACAATTTACTGTAGATATTTGGCCAAATATCTGCCGTTCCCTTTTTGGGAAATAGGCTCCAGAACTCTCAACCCTAAACTCTTGTCCCTACGCCCTCTCTCAAAAGCAAACATCTGAGAAAGCCCTGAACACTAAACCCTAAACCCTCAACCCCAAACCCCAAACCCTAAACCCTAAACCCTAAACTGCCGCGCTGTGGCTCGAGTCCCTTGTGGGACGTTAATCATCGAATCATCCACCTTCCCTGATGATGACCTTACTGTATCTGCCTTGCCTGGTAGTACTCGCACTTGCCGTCGACCTTCCTACAGCCGCCGAAGATGCAGGAAGCTGCGGACCTGTGAGTGGAGTGGCCACGGGAAGCTTGCTACAGAGCACTGCTACACATCGACCGACAAGGACCCCTCAGCACCTGGGTAGCCCAGTGGTATCCTTTTCGTTTTTTGTGTTCAAGGTTCCCTGAAAAAGTTACCAGCCCGAAAAGGGGTGCCCTTGTACTTATATTCATTTGACTGCTGGGCAAAAAGGCAGATTGGTTTCACGAAGACGGCGACGAGTTCACAGGTACGCTTCGTCTTCTTCGCCGGGCTTGAAGCGCGGATGCAAGAAATATAGGGGCCTTAACAATTGGAATAGGGTTTTGGTGGTTATTATAGTATGATTATAAAGGAACCACAAGGGAATACTATTAGTAATTATTCCGACCCCAAAATTAACCTTGTCCTTTCGTTTGGGTTAGGATCACTTTTTGACCCCCATTCGAAAATTTTGGGGGTTTGTGAAAACAAGGGAGCCCTAAGAAACACCCCCCCCCCCCCCCCCAAAAAAAAAGGGTAGGGTTCCCTTATAAAAAAGTACCTCTCAAAGGTACCCCGAATCTCGGAAGCCCCAAAAATGTTTCTGCGCAAACGAGGAAGGAAGCGGGCACCACTTCTGGCATGAAATGATCAAGAGGTTGCCCATCAACAGGTCCGAAGACTTGTCCCGCGCGCTCTTTGATGGGCAGCACGGAGGGTTTTTCAACGCCGACGAACACAGCCGAGGAGACTATGCCGAAGACATCGCGAAGTTGATGTCGGAGATGGAGATGAATCTAAGCAGCACGCCAGGCTGCAAGGTGGTTGCCCTGAACGGTGTTGAGCCGCAGGTATCTGGCATGATGTCCTACCCAAACATGGGAGGAAAAGATAGAGCCGGCCGGAATCCTGACATTTTTGCTTTGGCAAAGCTGGCTGAAGCTGCTGGAGTAGATTTGCGCATTGTGCTGCTGACTCGGCATCCAGAAAGCATGGTGCAGAGCATGTGCGAAAGGAACTACGAGAAGGATGTCGCTCATGCAGTTCGGGAGGTAGCAATGACCATATCCCTTCTGAGTGAGCAGCTCGAGTTGCTTGATCCCTCATATGTGGCATGCTGGACGTACGAAGATCCAGGGGCAAAGATTCTGGAGTTGCTTTCCTTCATGGGCATCTGTGACGCAGACCCTAGCCTGAGCAGGCAGATTGTCGAAGAGATTTACAAGCCCTCGAACCATCCGGCTCTTTCCAAAGCTGCCAGTGAGATGCTGGAAACCAGCACTCACATTCATGAGAGCTTGCTTGCCAAGTGGTGCAGCTAGGACGGCAGGTGCAACACTGCGGCGGGTGAGAAGAAAATAATGTTTCAGATGGATGCCGACCCACATGTTTGCAACCATGCTGGCATGAATGGAATTCATATACGATTTGCAAATCGGCACGCATTCGTTTATCCTTTCGGCTAAGCCCTAATTAGGAGGCAAGCATATGAAATCTGTTTCGGGTGCATCGTTTCGAATCTCAATGTTTAGTCAGCTATTGTTTGGAATTGGTATGAGGCCTATTTCAATTCAACGCAGATCTGTTTGCAAACAGCCTCCACTCGCCCCTCCCCGCTCCCCACTCCCCTCCCCCCCACCCCCCCCTCCCCCCCCCCCCCCCCCCCCCCCCCCCTTAATGCAACTGTATTTCCAGCCTCAACACAGAGTGCAGCTGTTGTATGACCATAGTGGGCCACCACGAGATTGAACTCACAGATTTACGGGGTATCGATTTACATCACAACAGAAGCTCAAAGCTTAATTGTGCAGAAACCGGCCAGCAGTAAGTCACTCAAAAGAAAAGAAGCTCTGGGCCCGGCTCTGTCCTTTACTCAAACCGATCCGTTTAGGGTTTAGGGTTTAGGGTCTAGGGTTTAGGGTGCAGGGTTTAGGGTTTAGGGCTTAGGACATGAGAGCGCTTCGGAACCCTGAATGCCCCGCCCTGGGTTTTAGGGTTTAAGGTTAAAGATTGAGGGTTTAGGGTTTCGGGGGCAGCCTTGGTTGAACAAGCTTGTTCTTGTACAATGAAGACGAGACAATATTATTAGTGGACGTTTTAGTGGTGGCTGCTGTATATCGTATACGCCATTTTTTACCTCCCCCCCACATTGCCCCTACGTAGATATTGGATAACTATGGACATCATTCCATCACTTGTCTTTCTTTAATCAAATCCGAAATTCTCAAATATCTTCGTCTTTATTCTATATATGGGCAAAAATAAACCTATCACCATCCCGAATTGAGAGAATTAATGAATCAAATCCAAATATGGAGATAAAATTGAATTCGAATATTCACCATGAATTCAAATAATTGAATAGATCATTAATTTAGAATATCCATCTCGAAATCTTATATCATCAATTTAGATTTCAATATATATCAGATATATATTTTTTGCTATTTAT